CCTCTCATCCCACCCACACATGTTCACTCAGTTCATCTCCTATCACCCCCTAAATAATCCACCCCATCCTACCCCACTACCAACTCATAGGTCCCCCATCTTGGGAAAACCTGACCTTGGTAGCTTGGCCTTCACGCTTCTCTTCTAGAACATGATGTCCACTCCCTTCAGCTCCAGCCTTCTTTTGACTGAGGTTCTACCCTGCCTGACCCCAGTATTCATCTTCCAGAACCTCCTCTTGCTTTCCTGGCTCAGCTTCCCCAAAGGATGGAGTGTTCACATGGGGACCATCTTCTCAGGCTGGGCTGGGTTGCATTTATCTCTGAGGCTTGATAGAGGCCTACTCAAGCATTCTGCACATGGCAGGTGTGGAATAGTGATCTAGTCAACTGTGCTGACTGGTTGATTTATAACTAGAAATAAGCTGTAGGGCTAGAAGAGAAACCTGGTTTTAATGCCTTAATAAGCCAGGCTCTCATTGAAAGATTTCACAGATTCTATCTTATTCTGTTCCATCAACAGCAGGACAGTGTCATTTGTCTTTTGGATGGCTCCAGGTGAGGAGAGCTTTAAAGGAGTTAAGGACTTGCTCAAGGTCACAGTCTCAATGGACCAGGCAGTTTCTTTACCGAAACCACAAAAAAAGGGCCATGCATTTGTGTACCTGAGCAGAAAACTATTCCCCAGAGAAAGGTCAACCAGTGACTGTGATTGTCGCAGATCTAAAGGCTGCAGAAACATTTCCTGCCACACACAGCCAAGGTCAGGCCACTGATGCCATTCAGTGGTCGGGGAATGTGCTTCGAGAATGCAGTCAGGGGCTAGGGAGATATTGCTTAGTGGGAGATTGCTTAGTAGGGAGACAGTTTACAAGCATGAAGACCTGAATTTGATCCTCAGAATTTGTGTAAAGGGGAGGGCATGTAATCCCAACACACGCGTGCGCACACACACCACCTTGTATTTTTTTTTTCTAGAAAATGATGCCACTTGGTAGAATTTCAAAGAGAAATCTGAGCCCCCTAGGTCTTGTTCAGAAAGGAGCCAGAGCCTGGGGTCCTAACAGGTTCTGGGAAGTTCTGGAAAGCTGCAGGTGGGTAAAGGTCCTGAGCAGGACAATTAGAAGTGCAAATAGTGTGGAGGGGAAGGGAGGTCACAGGAGAAGAAGTCACTCTGACTGTGTGAATGTCCTCTCAAGAGGAGGCCTGAGGCCTTGGAACTTTCTATTCAGATTCTCTTTAATTCTTTTCCTTCAGCTCCAAGCTTCACGGCAGCCCCTTTTTCCTGTATTCCGGTCTCTTGGCGTGCACTCTGTTATTGCCATCTACAAAGACTTAAGAATGTGCTCTGTGTCTCCCAGCGTATTTATGCTTTATACGACCAGTTCTTCAGGCAGTATCTCCCTATGTCAATACCATGATAGCTTATATTGTAGTTTGGGCTATCAAATTCCTTTTGAAAAGTTACCACACGCTAAGAATTTTTGCCCAAACTAAGTCCTACACGGCTGTACTTGATAAAGAGACTTTGAGTTAGAAAACTGGGCAATTTAGTAATGGACCAACCACAGACAGCTGGATAATGCTATCTTGTAAAGTGCAAGGCCAGCATCCCAAGCCTGTCTCCCGATTCCAAGGCCCAGTGACTTGCCAGCTGCCCTCCTTAGAAAAGCACGCCAGCCTCTTGTAACCTCAGCTGCTGCTGGAAAACTCACTGGCTGGGGCGCCTCAGTCCCCATCTGCTCCCATCTGCACCCCTTCTTCCCCTAGAAACCAAAGTGTGTGCTCTCTACAGCCTCCAAGAGAACAGCAAGAGCTCTACACAGGACAGTTTGTAAAAGGCACCCACCCACCCATCAATGATGGGTCACAAAAAATGGTGCTGTGTTTGCTGACCAGTCAGAGCGAAGGTGGTCACCGAGACAACTCGGTGTCTGATCCACATGACGGAGATGCAAGGCTCTGCAGCGTGTGACTGTGACTTAAGAAAAGGCATGCCCATCAGACCCAATGGCAGCCTGCAGACCTCCCGAGACCTCCCCCTTCCTAAAACAGCCCTTTTGCCCACATGTTTTAGACAAGCTACGAAGAGCCTTTGAGAGATTGGCATTCCTCCCCTTCCTGAAGTGCCCCTCCCCCGACCCCCATTGCCCTGCCTGCTCATGAAGTTCCGTTTGGAATTCTGCTGGCCCCCTATCACCTGGTGCTAATCACGGGAGGCTTGGGGAAATTCATTAGGGAGCGATACCTTCTTCACCAGCCAAAAGCTCATTGCTTTCCAATTCCATGGTTACAGGAATCCTTCCAAAACTACGCTACATCTAAAGACTCCCTGAAATGTAAATAAAATGAAACAGCAGAAACAGAAAACAATTAATCCTTGGGCCTGGGGTCTTTGAAGATCCAAAAAGTGCAGCTGGTATAGCTCTTCCTGATAAGACAAAGAAGGGGAAACCCTACAGGCCCACACCTCCGCCTGCTGCCAACAACCTCGGGGGAGGAGGGCAACTTACACTCTGTGGCCCATCAACAATTTAGTAGTGCTCTATCCTGGCGATGTAGCTCCTTTTAAACAGACCCCCAACATCATACAGCATACATGCCATGAAAACAGAGCTCACACTACTTCTGCAAATGTGCAAAAACAGCCATTTGTAGACATTAGCTGTGGCAAAATGTACCAATGACCAAAATGTTACCCAGCATCCATAGCCTATATACCTCTCATAGCTGCTGTCACTCAAAAAGGACAACGTTGAGAAGATGTGACTAAGGCTAGATGGCTTGTAAAGCTTAAAATATTCACTTTCTGCTCCTTTCTGGGCAAAGTCTGCCAACCCCTGCTCAACATGATTCTTTCAACACAAGAAGGCTTTTGAGATACCCCATCCACCCACAGCTACCAAGAGCTATCTTCTGGATGATGCTCTCTACCCATGCCTTGTAGCTGAGACTATTCCGGCAAACACATACATGCCCTGCACACTTCAGAGAGCTTCCTCCATGGCCAAAGGACCGACCACACCTTTATCAACCACCTGGGTGGACAGCCAAGCCAAAGACGGGGTGCAGGGCAATCTCAGGTAGCTTAAGGTTAAAGACCTTCTTTCCTTTCTGTTCCAGGACCACCTTGACACCGAGAGACCAGCTCCCAGCCATGTCTCTTCCCTCCTGCTTCAGTCTCTGCCTACGTGTAACTCGGGGAGAGTGTCCAACGTACAGCTTGCACGAACAGGATGAATAAGGCAGACTAAACAACAGCAGCGTCTCCTCAAACTGGAATTGAAAAATCTCAAGACTTAGAGGTGCACCCGCAACTGGCTAGGGGTGAACTCAGAGTCTTGGCTGCGCTCCTTTCTCTAAGGCACAGCGCCCTCACATGGTGCAGAAGGGCAGCGCAGTCTTCCTGAGCCGCTGGCTCAGAAGACATCTGTGAGGAGGCTCAGCAATCATTCTGTGAGGACTTTCAATCAATGTTCTCCAGATTTCCAGCCTGGGCTCCTTCACAGATAGCTCCTCGCTGGAAACTTTACACCAAGAAGTATAAACTCTGACCTCTCCAGAAACTCACGAAACCGCAGCAAATGGGATTCAGATGTTTCCATGTACAGTACAGGGATGTGACCTAGACTTGAAACACTTTGGCAAAAACAGGAAAAATGATGTGGGCCTTTGAGTCCCTCCCAGAACATGATACAGCTCTGACCCAAGTCCTACAGGGATCTGAGCCTTTCTCACTCCTACTTAAGCCTCCTTGCCCACAGCCCATACTTCTGCCCCCGTTCCACGTTAACACCTACCAGGCCCCACCACAGTCTGTGCCTTTGCCTCCTTTTACCAAAGCTGCCAATTTCTCCCAGTTAAGCAAAAGTAAACCATACCCTAAAATGAGACCTCAGAAAATTAGGCTGCTCCCAGGAAATTACAACCACAGGTCTCCCAGCTTCGACCCAGTGCTAAGAAAGCAGAAACTCCACAGAAATTAATCTTGGAGTCACAGGCTTTCCCACTTTGCTGCTGGCTGTGTAAGTGGAGGCCAGAGAATTGTGGGTGGTGATAAACAAGATAAGTGAAGGGAATAACTTCCTTGGCCCAGGGTGGCCTGCCAAAAAACCAATATCAGAAGCCTCTATCTCAGAGGTCTACTGTGACAAAATACCGAGAAACAACAGTGCATGGCATGCTCTGAGTGACGCCAGGCTCTTCAGGGACAACCCATCTGCCAGGCACGTGCTTTCCTTGGGGGCACCATGGAGAAGCTAAGAATTTGGCTCGACACCAGTGTAGCCAAGTGCTCAAGTGTGAGCACAAACAGAGCAAAAAAAGACCCCCAAACTCTCTCTGCCTCTCAGTGTGCTCGTCACAGGTGTGCCTCAAACACAGCAAGGCAAGGTCTTGGAGAGAAGAGCAAGTTTGAGAACGCGACTTAAGCCCCGGCCAGGTGAGCACCCCACAGTTCTCACTGAGGGTGGATCCAGACAAACGCCTGCGCTGGGGTGAGGGAATACGGCCAGTGGCTACCCTTCCTCTCTTGTTACCTTCCAGCTAACAAAAGTGAGGTTAACCATAGCCTGCCTGGGGTGCCCTCCTAGTATAGAAAGAAGATTCGAAGGATAGAAGAGAGGTGCATGACTACCCCATCCCCAGACATATGAAATCGACCTTCAAGTGTTTTCCCGTAACACGTGCATAACACATACACACACCTGTGCAGAGACTGGGCGAGTGGGACGACAGTTACCCATGCATTCCCCTAGGTGAGCTATAGCTAACTTCTCAATGTAATCGCGCCTGGGCCAGGTTCAGCACACAACAGAAGCCGAGACAATGACAGCCGCCCCCCCCCCCCCTCCACACACACACTTGCGTCCCCTCTGCTCAGACGGCACAGTCTGGAAGGCCAAGTGAGGGAAGGTCTTCCCCCGCCCAGCCCTCGGCGGGACCACCCCAGGCAACGCAACAGACTGGGCAGAGCAGACCCATAGGGGGCGCGGGCAGTACCAGGCCGCCGGAGGCGCCGCAGGCGCTGAGGGAGACGAGGGAGCCCGGGTGGCCCAGGACTCGTCCGGAGTAGAAGCACAGCTCGGCAGGGTGTCCGCTGCTCCCCGCGGCGCCCGCCTCCTCCACCTCGAAGGCCGGGGACAGGAAGCGCAGGTCGCGGCGCAGCTGCAGGTACAGGTCGCGTCCGAAGGCCGGCAGGTGCAGCAACAGGGCGTGCTCTCCCGGCCCCGCACGAGGGCCACCTGGAGATGCTTGCGGTCGCCGCCACCGCCGGAGCCCCGCTACTCCCGGCAGCAGCTGCAGGTGCAGGTCGTCGGGGCGCAGTCGCCTCGGGAGCACCACCTCCACGTCGGCCGCCGCGTCGCCGACAGCTGCGGGGAGAGAGGACATGCGTCAGCACCGGCCTGGCCACCAGACCTCCCGCCGGTGGCGGCTCCGGCGCTAGCTTTCAGAGCTCCATGGACATCGTGCAGCCGTGACCCCGCACTCCCTTCCCTCCCCGAGCCGGGCCTCTGCCAGCCGGCCAAGCCACCCGATCGCCCCAGGGGACGGCGCGCCATCAGCTTGCCCGGGGATGGGGGCGGGTGGGGGACCAGAGCCCTGTTCCCCGGCCGCGGCCTTCGCCCTCCTCCTCCGCCTCCTCCTCCTCCGATGATGATGATGCTGTCAGCAGTCCACCCATGCACCCGGGCGCCAGGATGCTTCGGGAGGGCACGGGGAAGGTGGCCGCGAGAGCAAGCGACACTACCTGTGCTCGGGTCCAGCCCCCACACCAGCAGCAGCAAGGACAGGACGAGAGGGGGCAGCAGGGCTCCGTCACACATGGTCCTCGGGACCAGCAGCCCCCAAGACCGTAGTGGCAGAGCAGGGGCGCGCGAGGCGGCAACGCCAGCCGAAGTGAAGTCCTGCAGCCTTTGGAAAAAGTAATTAGCGCTGCGGACAAACCCAACATGGTAAATACCAAGCTCCACCTTCTCCTTGGAAAGTAGGAGGTGATTGGGCTTTTGCTTTCCTCTGCCCCGCCTTCCCTGTCCGTATTGGTTAGGGCCGGTCGAAACCAACGTGCGTAGTTAGGTTGTAAGCACTTTCTTACACGTGGTTTCTAGGCAGTAGGTGGGACGTGACACCAGGTGGCAGGCGCGAGCCGACTCCGGGTTGTGGAATCCTGGAGCAGCTGGGAGGACACCAACCTAGACCTTCCATGGGGAGATCACCTCTGGGGCTGCTATCCAACTTCGCAGGAAGACAGGGAGGACCATTCGATTCCCACACACAAAAAAAAAAAGAAAGAGAAAAGAAAGGAAGCGAGGGAGGGAGGGAGGAAGGAAGGAAGGAAGGAAGGAAGGAAGGAAGGAAGGAAGGAAGGAAGGAAGGAAGGAAGGAAGGAAGGAAGGAAAGAAGGAAGGAAGGAAGGAAGGAAGGAAGGAAGGAAGGAAGGAAGGAAATCAAATTCTTTATGTATTTAAGTGACTCCAACTTTTGATTTATTTCGGCTGGAAAAGCCCAGACGAGTTTCTGGTGCACCTGAATTCACGCCTGACGGCTGTATCTCCAATGTTTATTCACACCCTGCATGCTTCTTTTGGTCTTTATGTCCACAGAAGGCAGAAAGGTGAGAGCATGTTATGCTCCCTTGAATATCGGGAGACCGGGGAAAGGGAAACTTCAGGAGCTTGCTTAAATTAGCCAGCAAGTTTCTGGCTTGGCAAGAGCCCTGGCTTGAGTTCATGACCCTGACTTCAGGTCAGGTGTGACTCTCTGCAAACAGCAAGAGCCCTCCGAGGGTGGCAGGAAGGTATGTTGGCCAAGCTTTGCTATCAGGACACGGGAGAGCTAAGTGGCAAAGCCTGATCCTGAACTTCATCTTTCAGGAACAGAATGAACGCGCATTTTCCCAGCAGAATAGAACGGGATAATTCCCTTACCTGCTCCCTACAGGTGATTCCGTTGGCTTCTTTAAGAATGTCTCACAGATGACACAGACCGAGCCCAAGGTTACCACTGCAGCCGCAGGTGACGCTCCCTAGCTCACCCATTTTTTTGTTTTCTCAAAGCAAGGTTGTGACAGACTCCTACGGACCTCTTTGTTTGGGGTGTCAGGATCTAGACTTCATCACAGGGTTATTATATATTACCAGAAAGCATCCAGAGGTGAGCCGAACCCTGGCGAGCTTCTCTAAGTTTGATGCCCGGTAGCCTTCTGTAGCCCCCTCCACAAAGGCTTCTCACAGGAGGTGCTGCAGATCTCGTCTCTGTTCCAGGGGCTGCCCCTCACTGCTTGGCACCTCTAGTGGATTCCAGCATGGGCCAGGTTCTGTTGGTGGCGATGAGTAGGGCTTTGCCTCGCCCTGAGTTTTGAGAACTTGGGTACCAGAGGCACGGCTTCAATCGTTACAGGGGAAATAGGAAGAAAAAGAGAAGCGTATCAGACCTGTGCACGGTCACTCAGCAGCTAGCTGTAGTGACGGTCCAGGGAAATGCTTTTCTCCTCAGAGAGATTCGGTTTCTCTCCTGCAAATCAAGGAGTGTACACTTCTAATAACTTGGACAATTCTTGAAAAGAGAAACAAGGGCCTAGAAGATGCCTGGTATATCATAGGCACTTGGTTATATTTACTAATATATGAATAAAAGAAGAAAAGCGATTGATTAAATCAGATATTTCAAAGACTCCCCCTGCAAAGCCCCCAGACCTTAGTACAATTGACTCCATGGTGGAGGTACCATTCAGACTGTAAAACTCAGCATGTAGACAGCCCCACCTGCCAAAATCAAAACAAAGCCCTAATCTATCAAAGTCCACAGTTGTGGGTAAGTCTCTAAATCTACTAACCTTGTTTTTGGCTTCTGTGGTTCTGCTTCTGGCTAACTATTCTTGTTACCTGAAGTCTGTCAGTCCAGGACATGGTTTTGTGCTTTAAAGCTCACCTGAGAAAGGCTCAGGGCTACACTGGGATCCTGAACACCCAGTGTAGTCTCCGGCCGGCGAATAAAGACTTTCTACTGGCTTAAACCTGTGTCTGAGCAGTCTTCTCTGGTGAGTACTCCACCACACTCCAGCTGTCAAAAGTGCTAAGCAAGCATCAAACCCATGCCCCCCTTGGTTCATTGTTTGCCATTCTTTCTTGTCCAGATCACTCTCAGTTGGGCAAGTTCATGTGGGTTGGATTAAAAACAGCAATAATGATTAGGGGCCAGATGTTAAAATGTCCTTTGCTAGCGAGAAAGAGCATGGAAGGCCTCCATTATTTAAATAACCCCGTCTTGCTAATGTGTATGTGTGTGCCCAGCACCCCAGGCACTGCTGATCCATGGAGAATACCAATAAACATTTGCCAGATGAGCAACAGTTCAGTGGTGTGTCCCCTTTCTTACGTCCGTCACTCAGAGTGGTCTTCCCAGATCAAGGATGCTTTGAAAGCCAAGACTGAGCAGAGAAACCATAATCAGATCTCTGTAACCAGACTGTATTTGTCAAATACACTTAGTTGATAATATCAGAGCTCCACTGAGCTCAAGCGGGCACAGAGAAGTTGTTTATTACATACCCTTTGTTTTATGTTCTAAAACCAACCACGACAGGGAACAACAGTATTGTCAGTGAGGAAATGGAGGGACTGGAATCTATCCATGCATGGCGGGCAAGTCACACATGGCAGTTTCTTTTGAAGAGTCGGTGTCTCAAAAAATTAAATATACAGCTGAAGTAGGCGGAAGACAGGCACAGGCTGCTGGCTTGGGCTGACTGAAGACATCCACAGGCCTGGTAGACGCCATTATGACGAGCAAATGTATGGTGGAGAAATGGGAGAGCAGAAGTGGATGGACAGGTTCATGTGCTGTGGAGAGAGGCAGAACTGAAGAAGCAAAGGTGGTGAGGAACAGGCTGATGTGGATGGCCTGCTTGCCACCAGGGGCCATGGTGACATCCAGGCCTGGTCTGCTGCTAAGAGCCATATCTGGGTCCGTGGGTCCTACCCCAGCCAGGCTCTGTGTTGACATCCATGGCCCATGCTCCCACCAAAGGCCACATGGATGCCTGGGGTCTGGGTCTGGGCCACTACCTAAGGCCATGTTAGTGTCCAAGGGCCGTGCTGCCACCAGGGCTATGCCAAGCTGAGTGGCCTGCCCTGCGCTGTCACCTGGGACCATGATGATGTCTGGGCCTGAGCCGCTGCCAAGGGTCATGTCTAGGTATGTGTCCGCTGCATCCTGCATCGGAAGAGCTGGTCCAGCCCCTCATGGAAGAGCTGGCCCCACACTCAGGAGGGACCCCCCCCCCCCATCTCCACAGTGTGGGAGAGCCAGCCCAATGGCGTGAGTGTAGAAGAGCTGGCTCCGCCCCTCCCCTGAGGGGAGTGGCCTCAGCAGCCAGGACTGACCAAATCAGCTACCATCCAGACCCACATCCAGGGTTTTTTGGCCCACCTCAGCATCTACTCCATCCGTGACCCGTCAGAGTGTGTGAAGGAGCTGGCCCTGCAGAACCATGGCCGCGGGCTCTTCCATGACTTGGGGCAAGGAAGGGATACCTGGGAGGAGTTTCGGTGAGGGTCCAGTATTGATGGTGTGCCATAAGCCAGATGCCTTGAGCCAGACCAACAACTCATTACAATGAACATCGGCAAATATAGCAGAGCAGACAAGGGGATACTGCATGACACACCACAGCTCCCAATGCCACTAAGGTGAACAAAAAGGTGTTGGAGAGGCGGGAAAGATGGAGGAGCAAAGCAGCTTTTTGTTTTGTTTTGTTTTGTTTTAATTAATAGTTTTTTAATTCTTGTTTGGGGGATGCTAGGGGGGTGAGGGGTGGACATGGAGGGACTGGGAAATGAGTAGGATTGGGGTGCATGATGTGAAATTCCCAAAGAATCAATTAAAAGTTATATTAGAAAATTAAATATGAAGTTATCATATGGTTCAATGTATAGGTAGAGATTGCCAGAGGCTGGAGAAAGGGGGGTTTACTTAATAGTCGTAGAGGGTCTGTGTAGGTGATGGTAAAGTTTGGAAAGAATAATGGTGCTGGTTGTGTAATGCTGCTAACGCATTTGATGCTACTAAACGGTACACTTAAGATGCTAAAATGGTGACTTCTTTGTTACAAAGGTTTCATCACAATAAAACACACAAGGAAATATAACCCAGTTCCTTAAAATGAGCAAGACTTGAATAGACATCTTACCAATGAAGTCGAACAAAGGGAAAATAGGATTTATAAAGATGGTCCGTGTTGTTTGGTTTTGGTCATATGCAAATTCAAAATCACAACGAAATGACTGTTATATGCCTATTAAAAAGGGTTAAGAACAAGCAACGCATCAAACAAGTATTGTTAGGGAGTCGGCGGAATCCGCATTTACATGCCCGACTGGTCAGACTATGAACTCGTACAACCACTTTAGAAACATTTTGACTATTTTCATTACTTGCTTATTTATTATTTTTGAGACTCAGTCTCATGCATACCAGGCTGATCTCAACAATGAACCCTGCTAAAGAGGCTGAGGATGGCCTTGAACTTCTGATCCCCCTACCTTTACTTCCTGAGTGCTGGTTTTACAGATGTGTGCTGTATCAAACCCAAGACTTCTGACACGATAGGCAAGCAAACTACCAACCCAGCTATAGCCACAGCACTTGAACGGTTCATTACAAGTCAAGCACACACCTTCACAGCTGTTTCACACTTAGACATGAACTTGGGTAACCACACAAAGAACTGTGGGGCACGCCTTTAATCCCAGCACTCGGGAAGCAGAGCCAGGTGGATCTCTGTGAATTCGAGGCCAGCCTGGGCTACTGAGTTCCAGGACAGGTGCAAAGCTACACAGAGAAACCCTGTCTCGAAAAACCAAAACAACAACAAAAAAGAACTGTGTTGAATGATGACATGCCAGTTTTATTGTAGTAATCTCAAACTGGAAACATCCCAAGAATCTAGCAACAAGGTGAACGGATGAACGGAGTGTAGAAAGACCATACCCGATGGCTCACTAGAGTCTGTTACAAAGAGGAATGAACTGGGGATGCCTGCCACGATGTCAGTGAATCTCAAAATGATTAAGTGGAGAAAGCCACACTCAGAAGGGGCACATAGTGTATAATTTTATTTATTAAAAAAAAAAAAGTCTAGAAATACAAACTAATATGATAGTGATGGTCCACAGAGAAAGAATTCTGAAGGGATGGGAAGAAATGTAGGGGTAATAAGTATGTTCATTGCAAATCATGGTGATAGTTTGAGGGGTGCTTA